AAACTGTGTTACCACGTGTTTCTGAGGCTGTGGAGACAGCACTGTCCATGCAGGCAGGGCGTGGGAGGCGTAGCTAGCTCTGCGCGCAGTGTGGAATGCCCTGGCAAGCTGGCCATCTCCATGTTGTTAGGTGCAGAAATTATCCTGCTCCTAGGTGTTTTTGCAGAGAAGTGTGCACCAATGAAGAACAAGATGTTCACAGTACTATTTCTGTATGTGCGTGCGCATGCGCCCGCGCTTCTGTGCCGGCGTATTTGGAGAACAAAGGTTGGCGTTGGTGTCTTAGTTGATCATTAGCCACCTTATTTTTTTTCCTTAAGAATTTTTATTTATTATGTATATAACATTCTGCCTCCATGTATGCCCACATGCCAGAGGAGGGCGCCAGACCTCTTTACAGATGGTTGTGAGCCACCATCTGGTTGCTGGGAATTGAACTCAGGACCTTTGGAAGAGCAGGCAATGCTCTTAACCGCTGAGCCATCTCTCCAGCCCCGCCACCTTATTTTTTGAGACAGTGTTGTTTCCTTATGGAACCTGGACTTCTCATGGAGCCAGTTGGCTGGACTGACTGGCCAATGCGCTCTAGGGGTTTACCTGTCTCCCTCCCCTCCCGTGTTGGGATTACAGATGTGCACCCCCAGCTTTTATGTGTGTGCCATTTTAGGTCCTCATTTCTGTGTGCCAATCACTTTATCAATCTCCCTAGTCCTGCAATATAGCCTCCCCACCTCCATGTGTGTGTGTGTGTGTGTGTGTGTGTGTGTGTGTGTGTGCGCGCATGCAGGTGGAGGCCCGTGGTCAACCCAGGTCCTAGGGTGTCCTTCCTCAGGAGTGGTCCATCTTGTATTTATTTTATTATTTTATATTTTATCTTAACTGTGTGTGCCTGGGTGTGCACTCCATGAGTGTAGGAGCCCTTCAGAGTCAGAAGAGGGTGTTAGATCTCCTGCAACTTGAATTATAGGTGTTTGTGTTCTGACATGAGGGAACTGGGAACCTCGACCCCAGGTCCTCTGCGAGAGTCCTAGTCCTAGGAGATCTCTACCACCGAGCCATCTCTACAGTCTCCTGCCTTGGCTTCTGAGACAAGGTTTCTCACTGATCTGAGACTTGATCGTTAGTCTATGCTGGCCAGGCAGGGAGTCCCAGTGAGCCACCTATCCCCCCCTCTCCAGCACTGGGGTTACAAGTGTGTCACCATGCCTGCCTTTTTTTGTGGGTGCTGTGGCTCGAAGTCAGGCCTTCAAGCTTGAGCAAGCCCTTTTACCAACGGAGCCAGCTCTCTGGCCCTCAGGGCAACATTTCTCATAATTGAATATTAACGGGGAAAACCTAATGTTCATCAAGAGACAATGTAGAATAATGATGCTTTATAGATCATAACAGAAATAACGAAGGGATGGAATTAGACACACCAACAGGGTAAAAACTCACAAGCAATGTTGAACCACAGACGGCAAGAAAAACACATAATCTTATTTATAAAATGTTCAACAGTATAACATGATCTATGCATAATTTCAAGGTGGCAAGATACATAACAAGACAATAATAATAAAAATTACCTGAGGCAGAACAGTGGTTATATCCATTAAAAGGAGGGGGAGGGGGCTGGAGAAAAGCATCACGTTTGTGCTTGTAATGACCTATTGCTGAGAATGCGTGGTGGAGGCGTGGGTATTCATTAGTCTTTATTGCTGTTTATTCCCTTGAAATACAAACCTAATCATGTCATTTTCCTACTGAAAACCCTCCAGTGGTTTTCCATTACATGAAATTGATTCCAAAGCTTTAATTGTGGGCTACGTCATTTAGCTCCTGGTTGCTTTGTTGACTGTCATCTTTTTATTGAGTTCTTTTTGCTCACTGAACTCTGGATCATGGTGTTCCAGTTGCAGGAACTTGGAAAATGTGTGTTTGTGTATGCATATGTGTCTCTGTGTGTGTGCATGTGTGTGTGTCGGTGTCTCTTTGTGTTTGTATGTGTGTCTCTGTGTATATGTGTCTGTCTCTGTGTGTATGTGTCTGTGTCTCTGTGTGTTTGTATGTGTGTCTCTGTGTATATGTGTCTGTGTATGTGTATCTGTGTGGGTCTGTATGTCTCTCTGTGTGTATATCTCTGTGTATATGTATCTGTGTGTGTCTCAGTGTGTGGAGGCACATGTGCCATAGCAGGTGTCAGAGGACAGAGGTGGAGGACACCTGGACAACCTCAGGTGTTGGCCCTTGCCTTCCACCTTGTTTGCGAGAGGTCTCTTTATTGCTGAGCATTCCTGGCTGGCTGTAAGCCTCAGGGACTCTCCTGCCCCCATCTCACCATCAGAGCACTGGGGTTAGAGACACCACCACACCTGGCTTCTCACGAGTCCGAGAGATTTGAACTCACATCCTCATTCTTATATGGTTGTTGTGAAATAATCCTTATGTACACTGTGAAGATCTGCCATTCAGATCGGTTTAATAAAAAAGCCGAACGGCCAATTGCTAGGCAGGATTTTGGGGGGCAGAGATGATGCTGGGAAGAAGGGCAGAGAGACAGAGATGCCAGGAGACCAGAGGCGGCAGCATAGGAGTACACCATAAAGGTTGGTACGCCACGAAGCAAAGAGTAAATTAATAGAAATGGTTCATTTAAGTCCTAAGAGCGAGTCAGAAACAAGACTAAGCTTTCGGTCAAGTTTTCATACTTGATTAGTCTTCCTGTCGTGATTGGGAGCTGGCAGGAGGGACAGGAAAACCCACCTACACGTGGTAAGTAGTTTACCCACTGAGCCGCTGCCCCAGCCCTGGAATACTCTTTCTTGCAGTTTTCTCCAGCCATATCAGATAAAGACTGTTACAACATCTAGAGTACCCCAGAGACTCACAACGGACTCGAGATGAACATGGCTCCCTCCAGCAGCACTGTGGTGGACAGCTCCATCATCAGAGGCAGAAGTAGGGGGTGTGTGTGTGTGTGAGTGTGTGTGAGCATGTGAGTGTGTGTGAAAGAATGTGTGAATGTGTGAGAGAGTGTGTGTGTGAGTGTGTGTGAGAGAGAGAGTGAGTGTGCGTGAGTGTGTGAGCATGTGAGTGTGTGAGAGAGTATGTGAATGTGTGTGTGCGTGAGTATGTGAGCATGTAAGTGTGTTAGAGTGTGTGTGTGCATGAGTGTGTAAGCATGTGAGTGTGTGTGTGTGAGAGAGTATATGAATGTGTATAAATGTGTGTGTGTGTGAAGTGGGTCAGGAAGAATGTAAAGCGAGGTCTGGCTTCCATCAGTCCACGGCCTCCCATGAGCCACTGGGGGAGCTGGGCCTGGGCAGCTCCATTGAGGCCTATAAGGGACAGCAGAATGAAGGGAAGAGTTCATGCCTCCCTTCCTTCCAAGGAAGAAAATATTTGAGAGAAAAGAGTTCAATTTAAGTTTTTAAAGCTTTTTTAATTTTTTAAATTACTTTTATTTTAGATAGGGTTTCACAGTGTAACTATAGCTGGCCTGGAACTCACTATATAAATCTGACTGGCTTGAACTCACAGAGATCTGTCCGCTTCTGTCTCTTGAGTGTTTAGATTAAAGGTATGTGCCACTATGCCCACAATATCTGCCTATGTATGTATGTATGTATGTATGTGTGTATATGTATCTACCTACCTATTGTGGGGTGACACACGCCATGACACACATGTGGAGGTCAAAGGATAACCTCTGGAATCAGCCATCTCCTTTTACCTATGGCCCAGGAGTAGAACTCAGGTCACAACCACACTTGGTGGCAAAAGCCTTCACCTGCTAAGGCATCTTTCCATCCTTAAGACATTTTCAGTAAATTTTAGCCAGTAAGACTTCTCTGTGTAGCTTTGGAGCCTGTCCTGGAACTAGCTCTTGTAGACCAGGTTGGCCTTGAACTCACAGCGATCCACCCGCCTCTGCCTTCCAAGTGCTGGGATTAAAGGCGTGCGCCACCGCCGCCCAACAAGGTTTTGAAGTAGCAAGAGTTGACCATTATCTGTTTTATTTTAGGGGGTTATGAGGACAGGTCTGAAATTGTGTGTGTGTGCGCGTGTGTGTGCATGTATACATATAAAGAGACCTAGAATGTTCCATAGCAAGGGTCTTCCATGGTTGGGTTAGATTATAATGTCCCCCCCCCCAAAGCACCAATTCTATAATAAAAAGAAGCAAGTATTAAAGTCAAATAAACTCACCCAAAACTTTTCAGTATTCAGAATTTCTGGGCTGGTGACATGGCTCAGTGGGTAGGGGCATTTTTGGCTAAACCCGACAACCTGAATTTAATCTACCTCATGGTAGAAGGAGAGGAACTGACCCCACAAAAGCTGTCCTCTGACTCCCACACATGGGCTTATCAGGCACGTGTCGTCTCCTCCACACACACATTAAATACATGTTGAAGTTTAAAGGGGCTGGCTCAGCACAATCATCAATAATACTTTTGTGACGTCTACCCAAACTGCCTGTGGACATAATGGTGTGTTAATTTATAAACTCCACTTCCCCTTTACAAACATCATAGCAGAAATTGTTTCAAAACCACCCAAACACCAGCCAGGATGGGGTGGGGGTGGGGCTGCTGGTGATAATTTGAGGGTGACACATTTTAAACCAAATTTCTGAGGTCGACTTTGTTTTCTGAAAAAACGTTTTCGCCGGGGTGCCTGGGGGTCAAGTTCTTTACTGCCGGGAAAACAGTTTCGGTCGAGGGAACGAAGTCACCAGGTGACTTCCTCCTCCAGGAGGGACAGCCTGGGGGACAGGAGCCAGGAGGGCCCACGGCAGGCCCTGAGGTTTCAGTTACAGAGCCAGCTGCAGGAAGCTCAAGATGGGCATTAGAGCCCTTGAGAAACTGGCCATCCTTCAGAAATAGCGAGGGCTCTTCCAGGGCACACCCAGTGCGTGTTCCCGTCACCAGCGCCAGAATCTTCTGAAAGGCCTTCGGTGCAGCGGTCATTTGTGGGAACAGGAAGCTCCAGCCTATGCTGCCCCTCTGGTCCAGGCGACCGGGCCGCCTTTGCGGAGAAGGTGCTGCCCTCCAGCGGCCACCGTGGGGAGGGCCCGGTGTGTGCTCAGGACTTGGGAGGCCTGGCCGCCCCACCCACAGTGCGAGCCTGCGCATCCCAGAGGATGCCAGCTTGTAGAGGACAGGCCGCACAGATCTACTAGAGTGTGGTCCGCGTTCGTGCTGAATCACAACGCTTAACTCGATTTAGAAATTCTCCCAGGCATGCCCAGAAATGTGTCTACTGGGTCAAGTTAGCAAATCATGTTAACTGAGGCGGGGGTAGACAGGAATCAAGAGACCACAGGAAGGAAAAACCCTCACCAGGGTCTGGCTGACGCCTCTCGGGAACAGAGAAGCCAGAATTCCAGCACAGTCAGCAACACCCGAGCCGGCAAGATGGCTCAGCACAGCCTGAGGACCTGGGTTTGATCCTGTGGACCGAGAGAACTGGCTTCTGTGAACTGTTCCCTAATCTCCACACTTGAACTGTGGTACACTCACACACAGGGTAAACAAATAAAATTCAAAACAACCCAGCGTTTGCTCCAAACATAGTCTTAATATTCTCATAGAGAGCTATTTTATGTTAAAGTAACAAGGACTGTGTTTAAGGTGTTTAGGGTCTAGGGCATTGTTTACTTTCCCAGGCAAGGACTCAGAATCTCAGGCAAAACTTTTAATAATAAAAAACCCTATCTTCTAGTACCCCCGTGGCTAGACTCTTAGCTGTCAGCTGTAGTACTCCCAGGGGCCCCTCAGGTGCCACCACAGTGACCTCAGCCTTCTTAACCACACAGTATCCTCACACTGTGCCAAACCCTGCCCACGACCATTGTACACCGCAGACAGCCAGAGAGCGCCTCTGGGGAGCCCACACCCATGCCCTCCAATGTCTCCCCTTCTTTCTCTTCGCCCTCACACCCAAGCTTATATAAAAATATCATCATTAGGACCCAACCCCACTTCATAAAGTAGATAGATCTAAAGTTCTTTTCTGTACTCAAACCACGAATACCAGTTCAGCCTGAGCCGAGGTCCCCAAAACCCCGGGGGAATTTCTCAGGTACTGCCTGCCACAGGGGGAAGTGAGCTTCCTGCCTCCGCCTCTCCAAACACTGTCCCGGTTAGCTTTCTGTTGCTGGGTTAAACGTTAGGACTAAAACCAGCATTGGGAGGAGAGGGTTTATTTGGCTTACAAGGTACAATTCATCAATAGAAAGCAAGGCAGGAGCTGGAAGCAGGAAGCGCAGGGGAACACGTGTACTCCCTCACTTCTTGCTTCCGCTCAGCTCAGATTCTTTTTACAGCCCAGGGGCACGTGCCCAAGGTGGTGCCACCAACAGCCGGTCAGGTCCTCCTCCCTCAGTAAGCAAACACATGCCCCACAGACAGAGAGGGGATCTTAAACGAGGCTCCCTCTTTGCCAATGTGTTGAGTTGGCGACCAAGATTGTGTCACAAACAATCACACTGATATTAGCGGCCACACCCAGGCAAACAATCCCACAAATGCTGTTGATGCTTTGGCTCTGGGGACAGAACCCAGGACCTTATCACGCCTCATGAAGCCCAGTGTAACTTCCTGAGCCTAACTTGAGTTTGGTGAGACCAGGTGTAACTTCCTGAGCCTAACTTGAGTTTGGAGGAGAGTGACTCAGCACAGCCTGACCTAGGCCTGCCTCTGTCTACTGTAGCAGGATATTATTGGCCCTTATTCCTCACTCCACCTCACCCCATCCCAAGACTCCACCCACTACCTCAGCCCTATATAAGTTCCTGCCCTGATGCAATAAAGTGAGATCCTGCTTTGACAGACTCCCTGCTCAGTGTGTGTTTCTCCCTGGTTGACACTCACCATCCTGCTCAGCCCCAGGGAGAGCCAGTGGGACCGGCTCTGCCTCAGTCCTATCTGCTGGAGAACCTGGCACATGTGTCCACCACTGAGTACACCTCAGACTTGATCCGGGTTTTCCGTTTCTATAAACAGACATTAAATATACGTAGTTTTGGAGATTTATCTTTATTTCATGTATGTAGGTTCTTTGCTCTGTTCACCACATGTGTGCAGTGTCTGCTGAGGCCAGAAGAGGGCATCAGATCCCCTGGAACTGGAGTTACAGACTGCCATGTGGAAGCTGGGATTCAAACCTAGGTCCCATGGAAGAGCAGCCTGTGCTCTTGATTGCTGAGGTGTCTCTAGCCCCAGCTTCTGTTTTGTTTTATTTTTCTGGAGATAGGGTTTCTCTGTGTAGCCCTAGCTGTCCCAGAACTTGTTCTATCGACCAGGCTGACCTTGAACTCAGAGATCCTCCTGCCTCTGCCTCGGAGTGTTGGGATTAAAGGCCCACACCACCATGCCCGGCTCAGATGAACTCTTACTTGATCTCAAGTGATCCTCCTGCTAGCCTCCCGAGAGCTAGGGTTTGGGGTGCAAAAGACTCAGAGAAAATATTTCTTAACCCAGCAAGTCAAAGCTAGGCTGTGCTGCTAAGAGATGGAGACCTAAAACAATCTACCCTCAGGCTGATCCCAGCACCCTAGCCTGTCCTCAGAGACAAGGTCACCTTTCCCCAATGTCCCCTCCTGTCTGCGGGAGAGCTCAGCTTAGAATGGAAGGAAAAATTGGCACAGAGACTTCTACCTGCTGGAGCCCCCCTGAAGCGGGTCTCAGGGAGTGAGATGGCCTAGCCCATTGTGGAAGCCCTGCATTGCTAAAGGCTGCTTTATAATGGATGCTGCTTTTGTTATTTTGGCTTGGTCTGATTTTCTAAAAACTATGTATACTAGGAATGGGATCTAGAGCGTCATGCAGGCTATTATTGAGTTCTGTTATTGAACTCTATAGACCCTCAGCCGCCATCAGGACCATCCGTCTCAATGAAAGACTGAGCCAGGACAAGGTGGCTCTCAAGCAGTCATAAGCAACAGCTGGCCTTCCTCTGGCTTCCGGATTTAAGCTCATATAGCTAGTTCTCCCTCTCCTTTCCTCTCCCTCTCTCAGCCTCAGGAAAAGAAAAACTCAGCTCAATAGCACCTCCTGGTGTCTGGCAAGTGCAATCACATGACTTCCTTGGGGAGCCACTGTGAACTTCTGATGATATTAGAAATAACCAAAGATTTGAGACGTTTAATACAGATACTATTAATATTCAAAACATGTTTTTATTTTAAAATATCCATCATCAGATTCTTAGTCATGAAAAATCTTTCAGCAAATTCTGAAGTTTCAGTGATGCATACCCGTGATCCTAGTGCTTGGGGACGGGCTTCTAGATCAGAGCAGAGGTCATCCTTGGGCTACTTGGTGAGTTCTAGGCTAGCCTGGACTACGCAGTGCCCATGGGCAGAACTCCAGCCAAACACCAGAGAGTGAGGCTGACTGTGGAGATACCATTGATCAGCAGGTCCCTTTCTGCACCAGGGCACAGCTGAGGACCAGACCCTAGAGACTGGTGATGGCTGAGGCGGTGGAATCTCTCTGGATACCAAAACAAACTGAACACCAAGGAGGAAACCTTGTGTTTTGAGACAGTCTTGCTATGCTGCTCAGGTTAGCCTTGAACTCTTGATCTTCCTGCCTCTACCTCCTGAGTTCAGGGATGATAGGTATGTCACTATCAGGTGACAGGCAGTGTATAATGTCCCAGAGGTGCAGTGAGATTTCTGGGAAGGGAAGGATGCAAAAGTGAGGGGCTAAGGTGTGACGAGGCAAGACAATGCAAAGGTATTTGTATTTTTTTTTTTTTTTTTGAGATAGGGTCTCTCTGTGTAACAGCCCTAGCTGTCCTGGAATTAGCTCTGTAGACCAGGCTGGCCTTGAACTCACAGAAATCTGCCTGTCTCTGCTGGGTGTGCACCACCACTGTCTTGTATTCTTGCTGAGGTCAATTCAGGTTTAACTAGGATATCAGCCTTCCTCACGCCATAGCCCTTTAGTACAGTCCCTTGTGTTGCGTTGACCCCAACAGTAAAACCATTTCCATCACTACTTCATCACTGTAATTTTGATATTGTTATGAATCAAATGTAAATATCTGGATATCTGATATTTGATCCCTATAAAAGGGTCATTTGACTCCCAAAGGGGTTGAGACCCCCAGGTTGAGAATGTCTGAGCTAGAATCTAATCTCCTTGATGGAGAATCCTGATATGGGACAGAAGAAAAACCAAAATTAGGGATTATCTATTGCCACTATCTCATAATTCTTTGGTTATACTTAGTTTTTAAAATTTTTTTCATAAGGTATGAATATTATCTCAAAATTTGTGATTAATGCCGGGCGATGGTGGCGCACGCCTTTAATCCCAGCACTCGGGAGGCAGAGGCAGGCGGATCTCTGTGAGTTCGAGACCAGCCTGGTCTACATAGCTAGTCCCAGGACAGGCTCCAAAGCCACAGAGAAACCCTGTCTCGAAAAACCAAAAAAAAAAAAAAATTGTGATTAATATATATTTTAAGCCTTAATATATATATTTAAACTGTGTGTCAAGATATTAATGATCATATAGAGTACTAATTCTAGAGAAAGGCTTTATCTAGCTCCCTGTACATGATTTCAGGCTTGAGTCTCTATCAGGTAACTAGGAATTAAGTTTGTGTACCATGGATGTCCCTGGCAAATATTGATCCTTTAACCTTGTTGAGATCTGCGCATATGACTTTTAAAATGTTTAAGTTTTCTGTAGTGAACCAAGACCAAGTCTAACGGTGACCTTTGAAGACTCCAAAAAAGGATGGGGCCCCACAATGACAATTCCACCAGGACTGTGACAACACCAGTAAGCAGACAAATATCACCTAAAGATCGGCTTTGGGCTACACACTGCTCAGGACAGTTTCAAGGTGGCTGGCTAAGCCCATCCAGCTTCACTGACTACTCTAGTCAGGGCATGAGACAAACCCTGCACTTCCCCATAACACAGACACCAGACACAAATGATACAGCTACCCCTCCCAGGACTTGACAATTAACTTAAAATTTTCTATTAAGGATCCCCTAAAGATGCTATCACCCCCAGACATAGGAAGTAAATTTAAGAACACAAGGCTCACATTCCCAAGAGGTGGGGTGGTGGGTTTTGGTCGTTCAGTGGGTTATGGATATTTGTCATAGTTTAGGGGAGCTGGTTACAAGTTGTTATTGGTAATGATCAGGTAAAAACAAAGGAGATTAGATTCAGAATTCTTGTTTTGAAAAGAGAAAAGGGGGCTATATAGATATAATAGGGTATAAGAGTAGATTGTTGAATCTACTTTTAAACAAAAAAGCACTTAATAGTCTTAAATATTTTACATTGATATGGATTTTTGTATGTTGATACAAATGTCAGGTTATTTTTGCTAAAATATACTGTACAACATTTCTAATTTTGTTAAGCTATTATACCTATACAGTTCATTTAACAATGCAATGCAAATTTCTAGCCCTCAAAAGGTATTATTATAACCTATTTAGGAAAATAAAGAAATGCAGGTTAGTAGTTAGTCACCTATTACAATTAATGTTGTAGTCACATTAGGTATGTTTTCAAGGTCAAACAGACATTTTAGGTAGACAAGTGGTCTTCAAACACTTTAGAGATCTACAGAATAAGGCATTTAAGATGCTTTAATAACATAGGTTTTTTTTGGTTGTTGTTGTTATAACAGTGAGATATGTCTGCTCTTGGTGGCACCAATCTACTTCAGAGAAGATAATGGGCATCGAAGAAACTCCACAGGGAATTTGCTTTCTTTGTGGCAAAAGTTAGCCACTGGGCAAGAGTGCCTTGCCTCTAGGGCCTGGTTGCTCTGCTTCTCTGATCTTTCATCATTACCCCCTAATATCTGACTCTGGGTTTTTATTGATAAGACCAATTAGCACTGCAGAATCCCTTGGAAAACTACCAACTTTATTCTAGGAACCAAAGGTCAGGACACCCTAGCTAACCCATCTCAGCTCAGCTAACCAGTTGTACAGACTGCCCTCTGGCTGTTTATCTTAGCTACCTGTCCGTGAGGAACTCCCTACAGCTGGATAACCACTTATCTCAGCTTCTGTTGAAACAGCTTCAAACTGCTTACTCAGTGAACTCCCCCTGCAGCTGCTTGGACAAAGTCTCTGCCCTTAAAGACTCCAGAGCCACACCTCAGTGGGTAACTGCTGGCTGGAACAAAGACTTTCACTTGCTATTCACTGAGTCTGAGTGTTCAGCTCTTTGTAACAAAGGAATGTGTCTAAGAAAGAGGCGGTGGTAGCTAGTTGTAGTGGCAGTTCATTTGTATTATAATAAATAAACCCAGCGTGAAGGTCAGAGATTAAAACAGCCGCACTGGTCAGTCTCACAGACCAGGCAGTGGTGACACATACCTTTAATCCTAGTAGCCACAATAGTTGCCATAGAAACTGGGCAGTGCACATCTTTAATCCCAGCCCTAGAGAAGATTATAAGACTGGAGAAGGGCTGGAGAGATGGCTCAGTGGTTAAGAGCACTGTCTGCTCTTCCAGAGGTCCTGAGTTCAATTCCCAGCAACCACATAGTGGCTCCAAATCATCTGAAAAGAGATCTGGCGCCCTCTTCTGGCGAGTGGGTATAAATGGATGCAGATAGTTGTATATATAATAAATTAATCTTTAAAAAAAAAAAAAGAAAGAAAGAAAAGACTGGAGGAGACAGCTCTCAGACAGTCTCATTCTGAGATTCCTGGAGGCAGGATCACCATTTTGGACTGAGGTAGAGGTAAGAGTCAGTGTGTAGTAAGAGGCTGCTAGTGTGTTCCTGGCCACTCTCCACTTGTTCGTTTCCTGGCTACTCAGACTACTCAAACTCCCAAAATAACCACACAGAAACTGTATTAATTAAATCACTGCTTGACCAATTACTTAAGCATATTGCTAGCTAGCTCTTACATCTAGAATTAACCCATCTCCATTATTTTATATTTTACCATGAGGTTCCTGGCCTACCAGCAAGGTTTCAGCATATCTGTCTCTGGCAGCGGCTCCATGGCTTCTTTTCATTCTGCCTTCTTCTTCCCAGCATTCACTTTAGTTTTCCCCGCCTAGCTCTACTCTTTTGCCCTATCACAAGCCAAGCCAGTTTCTTTGTTAACCAATGGTATTCACAGCATACAGAAGGGAATTCCACTTTATCAGTGGATGGCTGTTTTGCATTTTGGATCTTCAAGTTGAACCCCAATTTCATTTTCTGAGTTTTTATTCAATTGGCACCCAATGTGAGTCTCAAACCTATGACCCTGAGATTAAGAGTCTCATGTTCTATTGACTGAGCTAGTAGGATTTGCTAGAGGCAGAGGCATGGGGCTAGAACTAATGCTGCTGACTTTGCCTGTTGGCTTCACCCCATCCAACATGGCAGAGGTACGCTCACCACCAGCTCTGTGAGCCATGCTCACGGCCCAGCTCCAGGGACGCAGAGGGTCTTAGGCTTGCATAGCATGCGCGTCGCTGACTGAGTCATCTCCCACCCCTCCATAGCACATTGAAGACTATGGTTTGGATGAATGTCCCCAAAGGTTTACGCATTGAAAGCTTGGTCTTCAGCCCACGGCGCTGGCTGTTGGGGGTGGTGGTGGTGGTGGTGGTGTATGTAGCAGAACTCCCGAGAGGCGGAGCTAATAGGGGATCTCAGAATATTGTGTTGTGTTCTGGAAGGGGACTTTGTGGCTCTCCACTTCCTGGATCATGATGACGTAAGCAGTCTGTTGTGCTACACCTTTCCACTGAGATGTGTCCCGTTTGCCAGAGGCCTAAAGCTGTGGGGTCTGCCCAGTCTTGAGAAACAGGAGCCCAAATCATTTTTTTTTCAAATCAGCTAGTTGGCCCAGTTATTTTTGTTACAGTAATATGAAGCTAAGACCCAGAACTTGTAAAGCCTTAGCATCCCTACCTCATTGTAGAATCAGAGAATCAGCTCCCACCCATCTACACCGCCCTCTCATGGTTAGTCTTGGGAACTAACCGCTTGTCGAGTAAATCAGTGCTGCGTCTTCCAAAGTCTTCCAGTTGCCAAGGGAACACCAAAGCCTCAGAAGGCCTGGTCCCCAAGTGTCCTTCTCCAAGAGAGAAGCTGAGTACGTGTGGGTCTGCAGAGCCATCAAAAGGACGTCTGCTTGTCGGGCAGAGAGGGTGTGTGAGGCTCGGCCGTCGCTCCTCCTTTCGCTTCTGGAAGCTCCACTCCGTTTCTCTTGGCGAAGGCACAGTTGATCTCCACAAATGTCTTGCCCTTGGTCTCAGGGATTATCATGTAGACGTAGACAGCAGTGAGGAGGCAGAGGGCAGCGAAGATGAGAAAACTGTAGGCCCCGATGGCCACCTAAAGCAGAGAGGGGGCGAGGGGGGAGACCCTTCAGGCAACACACTTGGTGCCTCTGCGAGTCACAGGGATTTTCTTCATGGTCACTTTTATTCCACTCCTAGAGGGAAAAACAGCGGGCAAACTGGGCCCATCCCTAACCTCCAAAAGGGACCTTTAGTGTTGGGCTCCCATGGACTTCACAGGCTCTGGGTCCTTCCTGCACTGGAAGACGAGGTCTGGTTGACCCAGGGGAGGGAAGTAGCAGGGGTTTGCTCCTCTTCTGGAACACTACCATTTTTGATCTTTAACAAAGAACCATTTCCAACTCTGAGGGGCAATCCCCTCTGTAAGAGGGGCATGGCATACTAAAGGATTTTGAATTGGGTGCCGTGGTGTGCACTTCTAATTCCAGCACTATGGGTGCTGAGGCAGGGGGACTAAGAGTTCCAGGCTGAGGATACCATGTAGTGGGGAGGCACGGTAGGTTCTGGGTTGAATCGCCAGCCCAGGAAAACAAGCAAATAAAAAGAACCGGGCCGAAGCGAGTCTCATACCGAGCACTTGAGAGCTCCTTATGGTAGCTTTGAGTTGGTAGACGCTGGGGGGATTGTCGCTGTTTTGAGATGAGAGTTCACATATCCCAGGTGGGCCTCAAACTCTCTATGTAGTTAAGGACGGCTCTGAACGTCTGATGCTCCCATATCCACCTTCTAAGGGTTGGTTTTACAGCCCTGTACCACCGTAAGCAGGTTATGCTGTGCTGGGATCCAACCCAAAGCCTTTTGGCAAACTCAGCAGAAACTGAACTACATTTCCCAGCCCCAGGAGGTACTTTTCAGAAAGGAGGAACTACTCATCGTCTTGAGGTAAGGCAGGGTGGCCAAGGACGGCACGAAGGGCCACTCACCTGGATGGATGGGAACGCCAAGCCGACGATGAAGTTGGTGAACCAGTGCACGGCCCCATCTACCGTGAAGGCAGCCGTCCGAGAGGACTGCAGGACGATCTCTGTTCTCACCACCGAAGGGACAGGACCTGGGTGGAAGGAAGGTTCAGATGGCCCTGAAGGGCTCCTAGGACCTCACTTTGAACCTCAGACCCTCGGAGCACCTTACCTCCCTGTGTGGATCACCCTTGCTGGGACTGGGGGCTGAAAAGAAACCCCATTTTACCCTCAAATTACGGCAAAGGGTTGCAGAGTAGGGAGTGATAGCTGGCGCTATTTCTTTCTTTTTTTTTAAATATTTATTTATTTATTATGTATACAATATTCTGTCTGTGTGTATGTCTGCAGGCCAGAAGAGGGCACCAGACCTCATTACAGATGGTTGTGAGCCACCATGTGGTTGCTGGGCATTGAACTCAGAACCTTTGGAAGAGCAGGCAATGCTCTTAACCACTGAGCCATCTCTCCAGCCACCAGCTAGCGCTATTTCTTCAATTGGATGCTAGTGAAGGTTTGTAGCAAAACCCAGCAGATGGAAACTTCACAGTGCAAACCCTCTCCAGCCCTTGCTCCATATTGGCCCCCCATCGAGGTGTGCAAGATCTCACAGGACCCCATGGAATGTCCCCCATCGAGGTGGGCAAGAGCTCACCGGGCCCTATGGAATGTCCCTGTTGAGGTGTGTAAGAACTCACTGGGCCCCAATGGAATGTCCCCATTAAGGTGTGCAAGAACTCACTGGGCCCTATGGAATGTCCCACGATGTAGGCGAAGACACAAATGATGCCAAGGTAAGACAGCTCAGGGACCGTGCTCTGTGGGAGAAGCAGCGCTGTGGGCCTCAAGCCAAGAGCCTCACAGGAAGCTGAGTCCACCCGTGACTCCCACCCTCCTGCTGCAGGAATTCTGAGCCCCACGGAGGCCGCAGAGATAGGATGGAACCAGAACGTTCCCGTTCATCAAGGTTTCCACAGCCTTACCTGACAGTGGTGGGGTTGGAGGGAGAGCTGCCTCTCTGTCATGTTTGAGTCAGGTGGGTTTGTGTTTTAGCTTCATGTCGCCCTCTCTGAGTGTGGTTAGCACTGTTTCTGCCCCACAAATCTTGTCACCCTCTGAGTGTGGATAACTTTATTTCTATCCCACAAATCTTCATGTTGTCCTCTATGAGTGTGAGGGATTTCAACTTATTTGACAATTGTCTGGGGAGAATCCTTATAGGGGTCCCAAGGACAAGGGAGTCCTAGACCTTCTCTCTGTTCCCTGCTCTCGATGACCAAGACAAAACCAGGTTAACAGGCTTAAACTGAACTATATGGCAGGCTCCAAGCTAAGTGGCTAGCTAGTGAGAATTAGGATGGATGCTGAGGGGAGCCACTGATGGCGGGGTAGGATGGATGCTGAAGGAGCCACTGATGGCGGGGTAGGATGGATGCTGCACGGAAGCCATCGATGGCAGGGTAGGATGGGATGCTGAAAGGAACCACTGATGGCGGGGTAGGATGGATGCTGCACAGGAACCACTGATAGCAGGGTAGGATGGATGCTGCACAGGAACCACTGATGGTGGGGTAGGATGGATGCTGCACAGGAACCACTGATGGCGGGGTAGGATGGATGCTGAAGGAGCCACTGATGGCGGGGTAGGATGGATGCTGCAGAGGAACCACTGATGGCGGGGTAGGATGGATGCTGAAGGGAGCAATCGATGGCAGGGTAGGATGGATGCTGCACAGGAGCCACTGATGGCAGGGTAGGGTGCCATGGGGGGGGGCAGAAGATGGACAGTTGCCAGGGCTTCTGACAGAGGACATAATCTTTTCCCTTTTATTACTTCCTTCTGGTTTATATGAGTTCCTGGCCAGCCAGGGCAACATAGTCCCCAAGTATTTATTTATTATTTATATTCTTTTTATGTTTTTTTGAGACAGAATTTCTCTGTGTAGCCCTGGCTTTCCTGGAACTTGTTTTGTAGACCAGGCTGGCCTTGAACTCACAGAGATCCACTTGCCTTTGTTGCCTAAGTGTGGGGATTAAGGCGTGCGCCACCACTGCCTGGCATCCCTAAGTATTTTATAGCCCCTGTTACAACTGTTTCCTTTCCAGGTTTATCCAGCTCTAGTCTCCAAGATATTTTGAACACTGGGATTTGGCGCCCTTGACATCTGGCAGGATTCCAAGAGGGGATCTGGGCCCAGCTGTCCCCATTGCAGGGGATTACCTCAAGACTGCATTTATACGTCAGAGTTCAGGGACTACAGAGATGCCTCAGTGGTTAAGAGCTGTTGTTGCTCTTCTAGAAGACTCCCGTTCCGTTCCCAGCATCTATCAGGTGGCTCCCAACTGCCTGCGGTTCTAGCATCATACTGAGTTACACGCCTGTATTTGTGGGCCCCCGTAGAGCAAAATCCCTCATGGACTTCACATTGGGAATGGGTTTTATGAAGCAGTTGTCCATGAAAGGAGGCAGCTGGAAAGCATTGAGATCCGCCCCTGCAGTTGGGACCTTGAAACCCTATGGCGACACCCCAGCCCACAGGGCAGGACGTGAGAACAGACCTGGAGGAGGAGAGCCACGGTCAGCACCACGCAGGCCAAGCCACAGATGCCATAGCCAGACAGCAGGAGAATCCGCCGCCCCAGACGCTCTACAGCGACTGCCTGCAGGGGAGTGGATGAGGAGGAGGCTCTTAGTACTAAGGATTGACCTCCAACCCCGAACCTCCACCCTCTCCTGCGCGGCCCTTCTTAGGTTCTTCTTATTCACCCCTGCTACATCAGGTGACCTAGTTGGTGTAAGTTACACCTTGGGATTCCACAACACTGTCTTTGTCATTTGCAGACCCCTGCATATCTCCGCTGTCCTTATCATAACCACATTGTGTTTTTATGTGAGCCTGCTTGACTTATGTACTCTATGTGCATGCAGTACCCGCGGAGGACAGAAGAGTTCCTGGAACTAGAGCTACAGTGGGTTGTGAGCGACCCTGTGCTAGAGGGAACTGCTGAGTCATCTCGAGACCAAAATATCCAGTCTCAGCCAGGTGTGGTGTGATGAGTCTTTAATCCTAGCAGTCAGGACGCAGAGGCAGGTGAATCTCTGTGAGTTCAAGGCCGGCCTGGTCTATATCGTGAATTGCAGGACAGCTGGACTACATAGAGAAACCCTGCCTCAAAAAACAAAAACAAACACATATCCAGTCTCTTTTAGAACTCAAAGTCTCTATAAAACTCCAATGTCTTTAAAAAAAAAGTTTAAAGTCTCTCAACTATAGGATAGAGTAAAATAAAAAAAAATGAAGTACTTTATTCCTTCAAAAAGAAAGAAGCGGGTCACAGTCTTCATCTAAACAAAGCACCCCCAATTCCAGCACTGTAAATAACCCAGTGTCTAATAGCTGAGATTTACTCATAACCTTCCGGCTCCTCCATAGGACTTGGTGGCTTCTCTGTCTCAGCCTCTGCAGAACACACAGCCTGTCTTCTAAGCTTGGGCAGGCCTCACTCCACAGCTATCCTGTCCTTGGCAATCAATCATACGACGGTACTGGTACCTCCAAAATGCTGGGGTCACGGCTGCCACTGGGCTGTGCCATCACCAGCAGCCTCTCCTGGGCTTTCCTCATGGTGAAGCCTCGACTTCTCTGCATGACCGCTTCAGTTCTGGGCCTCCAGCTGCTACTGAGGTGGCACTATTGCCATTGGCTTCTCTTGATCTCTCCCAGTGCCAAGCCTCAGCTGCTTTCCATGACCCCCTCGTGCCTTCAAAACCAGTACCACTGCATGACTCTTAACAACTTCAGCTGCTAGCAGGAGGTACAACCTTGGCCACCTGTGGAACACAGCCTCTGCGTGCCGACATTGAGGAAACACTTCCCAGAAGACCTTCACCGCGTTGATGCTGGTCTTTCCTTAACCACAGCTGATTGGTTCAGCTGACCAGAACTGCAGCTTCTCAACCCAAAACAGCCAGCAACTCTGAGAGAGTCAGCAAGTGACTCTCAAGCTTCCCTCTGGAAACGCACGAGCCAGAGGGAAGTCATCTCGAGACCAAATGTCCGTCATCTGCTCTGCTCTCAACATTCTTACCGCCCGAGCTCCCACACAGCTCACCAAGCTTTGAACACTCAGCGGCCTTCCGAGCCCAAGTCCCAAAGTCCTTAGGTCTGTCATGTCAATACCCTACTTCTGGCACCAAAGTCTATATTAGTCAGGGTTCTCTGGAAGAACAGGGTTCTCTAGAATATGGATTTATTAGAATAATCTCACAGGCTGTGGTCCAGCTTGTCCAACAATGACTGTCTACCAACAGAAGGTCCAAGAATCCAGCAGTTGTTCAGTACACAAGGCTGGGTGCCTCAGCTGGTCTTCAGCCTATGCTGGAGTCCTGAAGAAGTAGGCTCTAATGCCAGGAAAGGAATGGACTTGGCAGCAAGGGTGAGAGCGAGCAGGTAGAGAGAGCAAGTTTCCTTCTTCAGTGCCGCTTGCTTACATAGGCTGCCAGCAGAGGCGTGGCCCAGATTAGAGGCAGACCTTCCTGACTCAAAAGATCGGAATTAGAAGTGGGTTTTCCAGCCTGGCAGTGGTGGCGTATGCCTTTAATCTCAGCACTCCGGAGGCAGAGGTGATCTCTGTGAGTTAAAGGCCAGCCTGATCTACAGAGCGAGCTCCAGAACTGGCTCCATAGCTACTAGGAAACCCTGTCTTGAAAAATTATAACACACACAAAAACCAAAACCAAACAAACAAAAAACTCCAAAATCAAAAACAAAAACCCAAAAGCAAACAAACAAAACAATAACAGCAAAACCGAAAAACAAAACAAACAAACAAAAAAGGTTCTCCCTTCAAATGATTTCAAATGATTTAATTAAGAAAACAATCCTTGCTGGGCGATGGTGGCGCGTGCCTTTAATCCTAGCACTGGGAGGCAGAGGCAGGCCGATCTCTGTGAGTTCGAGCCTGGTCTACAGATCTAGTTCCAGGACAGGCTCCAAAGCCACAGAGAAACCCTGTCTCGAAAAACCAAAAAGGAAAAAAGAAAACAATCCTTCATGTGTGCTGATTTGCTTGGGTTTTAGTTAATTCCAGATGTAGTCAAGGGCCAAGAATTGCCATCATAGCTGGCTTTGGAGCATTTGTTAGCTTCTGAGTCTCATGTTGCCCAGGCTGGGACTGAACTCACGATATCATTAAGGATGACTTTGAACTTCTGATCCTCCTGCCTTCGCCTCCCAAGTATTGAGCTGTTAAGTCTGAGCCATCGTGTGCAGTTTGACAGTGGTGCTGGGGATTGAACCCAGGAACTTGTACATGCTAGGCAAGCACTCTACCAACTGAGCTATACCCCAACCCTTGACCACTGGTACTCAAATAGTGCCTCCAGGACTAGGGTCACCTGCATGCTAGCTGGCCTGAGGGGCGTCTGCATTCCAGCTAGGGAGCTGTTTGGAGACCCTGCAATGAGAGAGAGGCTTCTCTCCAGTAACTCACCGAGACGATAGTCATCACTAAGTTGATCACGCCAGAGCCCACTGTCACGTACTGGGACTGGGTGGGGTCCACACCAACCGATGTGTAGATGGTGTCTGCGTAGTAGTTGATCTAAAACACAGACAGGGCTGCGATCAGAGGCCTGAGACTTGTCACTGGGCTACTGCTCTCGCTTTGAATGGTGAACAGTTTGGGGAGCTGGGGTAGGGAAGACTGGGTGGGGAGTCTGGTTTAGGATGGAGGCAGAAGGTAGCAGTGAAATCAGGCATCTTTCCCCACGTGACTTTACACCCTGCAAACTCAGGTTCTCCCTTGTTTGGGGCCAACCCTGGCCCAGTCCTGGGAGGGTCCCTACTGGGTGACTCCCAAGATCATTTGCTAAACAATTCAACTCTTCCTGTTACTTCTCTTAGACACCAGCAGGATCACCTGTCCTTTCTCCAACAGGTCCAGAATGGACATTTGCCATTCTCCAGGTATTTGCCCATCCACAGAGAGAGCATCACAGAACATGACATCATAGTTCCACAGCAAATGAGCCCACCAGGACCTCCTGGCCCAGGATGGACCAATCTATGACCTTTACTGGGACCAGAGGCCAGGCACTTCTCTGCCAGTCAACCAAAACTAGACATACAGATGGTTGTGAGTAACCACGAGGTGCTGGGAATGGAACCAGTGGTCTTAGCTGATGAGCTGTCTACATCTATTTGTTTATCCATCTTTCTTTTGTTTTTGTTTATGAAATTTAATCTCCATTGTAGAAAAGGAAACGATACTAACAAAACAACAAAGACAAAGCAAATGATGCTCAAGACCATCAGAAAGCAGACTGGCAGTGGGGCAGCGGCGGGCAGGGGGCAGCGGCGGGCAGCGGGCAGCGGCGGGCAGGGGGCAGCGGCGGGCAGGGGGCAGCGGCGGGCAGGGGGCAGCGGCGGGCAGCGGCGGGCAGCGGGGCAGCGGCGGGCAGCGGGGCAGCGGCGGGCAGCGGCGGGCAGCGGGGCAGCGGTGGGCAACCGGGTAGCTCTTCCTCTTCCATTTTCTGTCACTCACAAAAGATGCAGATCTAACTTGCTCTGGAGAGGTGGAGGAAGCTTTCTGCCCTGAGGTGGAGGCTTTAAAAGAGGCTGTTGTTCATTTGGTGGGGGATAGAAATGTGTGTGTGACCAAATGTAGCCAGACTTGTGGTGTTTTCACTCGACTGCAACAGAGTCCCGCTTCTGTGCTCTCACCCCAGCCTAGAAGAGCTCCTCAAACAACACAAAACAAACAGACAACCCCCAGAATTTTCACTGTTGTCTGTCAAAAAAATTGTTGAAAAGGTTGGTTGGGAGACTCAGAAGGAAAAGGGACAGAGGTGTTACGGATTCTGCAGAACACAGAGCAGAAGGTAGGGGTTAGCAGTCATTGTATCAGCAGGAGCACAAGGCAGAGTCCTTAAGGTCCATTTGGATGACAGCAAACATTAAATGTCTACTAAGAAGACACAAACATGTGCACTGAGTCTACACTGCCAGGCTGCTGGTGGGCTGGGGAGATGTGAAGGACATGGATCCTCATTCTGCTGTTGGAGGTCCGTGGGTGTCACGCCTCTCCAGCGTGTTTGTGGTCCCCTCATCATGGACCACAGAACGGTGGGTTTGCAGGAAGTTGAGCAGGGGTAACCTGGAGAGGTTCTTCAGACATAGGGTATTGCAAATGACTCCCAGATACCCCAACTTAGCCATAGGTGGATGTCTTCTGATCAAAGAGACAGGGATGGGTGCACTCAGGAGGCAAAAGCAGGTGGGTCTCTGTGAGCTGGAGATCAGCCTGGTCCACAGAGCAAGTTCTGGGACAGCCAGGGTTACACAGAAAGTCCTGCCTTGAAAAAAGAAAACGAGATGTGCCCTCGATCATGCCGCTCTGCGCTATCTGGTGTTTCTGCTCTACTTGGAATTCTTCAGCTCCTGTTTGACCTCATCCACGAAGTCCCCCAGGACTTTCTTTGTAAACCACGGCTCATCAAGTAACATCATTGAAGAGCTTCACGACACTAGTACCGGCGGCAGCTGAGGCAAAGTACAGGGGCAAGGAGAACGTCTCGGCAAAACCAAAGTTCATTTGAATCATCTCCACGTCTGCATCAGTTTTATTGGCCACCAGGTTGTATGGGATCTCCAGCCTGAACTCCTGAAGTTCTGCATACCAGGTACCCAGGTTCTTCTAGGTGATTCTCCTCTAGACATCAAAGACCCCATGCAGGCGTGAACCTTGGGGTAGGAGAAGGCATGCGAGCTCTGGAATTGCTCCTGGTCTGCTGTATCCCAGAAGTCCGCAAGACCGTGTTCTGTGTACTGTGGCTGTGTGCTTATATGGAGTCAAAACATCCATGGACAGATGCTGTGGCTGGAATCACCCAGGAGAAACCTCTACATGAGTTTGGAGGTGCCCACGGCACTGTCCCCCAGCAGGTGACCTTCATGTTATCATGAACCATTCATATTTCTCTTGGTCCAGCTCATAACGCTTGGTTCTGTCTCCTGCTGTTAGCTCTTGGCGGTGGACAAGAGCCGACCTTGGAGTCTTGTCCCTGTCGGCTTACAGGCCACTGTGCTCTGGTAGCAGCTTGGCCAAGTCTCTCCATCTTTATTGTATTCGTTTATTCTCTCTCCTTCCCTTTGCTGCCATCCTGTGTATATATGTGTGTGTGTGTCTGTGTATGCATGTGCAGGCAACAGAGCAGCGGCGGGCAGCAGGGTAGCTGCAGGAATCAGGGTGGCAGCGGCAGGCTGCAGCCTGCACACATTCTATGGCATTTGAGTGGAGGTCAGAGAAGTTGTTTCTCTCATTCCGCTGTGTGGGTCTCAGGGACCAAACTCAGGTCGGTCACTCTTGGCAGCAAGCGCCTTAATACTGAACCGCCTTGCAACCTAGGTCCTGTTTCTTGCACAGGAAACACCCAGAGTAATAACATTCACTGTGCTCCCTGAACCCCTCCACCCAGCCTCAACTTTGCAGCTCATCCCTCCTGAAGGCCAGACTGAGTTTCACAGGCGTCAAAATGCAAAATATTACTCTTGAGCCTTTTGTGAATTCCTTTAAAAAAAAAAAAAAAAAAGACCCAAGGGGACCCAGACTCTGGGAGAGGTGGTCCCGCGCACCGCGTTGATCCCGGACAGCTGCTGGCCCGCCATGAGCACGATGATGGAGATCAGCTGCCAGCGCAAGGGCCGAAAGGTGAAGAGGTTGAGCACCGATAGGCGACCCTCTGCTTGCTCCTTGCGCTCCTCCTCGCGCATTTCCTCCAGCTCGGCCTCCACGTCGTAGCTGGAGCCTCGCAGCCTCCTTAGAGCTACAGGGCAGAGAGGCAGCATGCCACACCCACCCGATGCTATTATTGTACAGCAGCCAGGCCCTTCTCCAGAGCCCAGGCCTCGCCCCAATCGCTCTGTCCACCCAGCACACGCTCTCAGCTCTCAAACCCCGTCCACCGTGACCCTGACCCCGATCGCGATCTCGCCAGATGGCATCTGCCCATTTCGTGCCGTTTTGTGCACTGGGGGCTGATGTGGGTGAGTAGCCCCCAGTACCAGTGTCCCAGTACCTTGCCTCGCTGTCTCTTCGTCTCCTTTCTCAATCAGAGTGTAACGGGGGCTCTCGGGGAAGAAGGGCAGCGAGAGAAGCTGAATCAGTGCCGGGACCCCGGTGAGAGCCAAGAGGATAGGCCAACCTGGACAGGACAAACATGACGGCTTCAGATTTGAATCTGCTGCAGGGGCCCCACAGGGGCACAGATGTTTCCCCTCCTGCCTCGGCCCCCACCTTGCCCAACCAGGTGATAAGCGAGGGTAGTGGGCACCTAGTCCTTGCCAAAATGTGGCTGCCCACAAAGGGCATACCTGTTAAAAGAGAGGAGAGTGCTTGGTGGGTAAGAACACTTGCATAAAGACCCCAGCTGCCTTCCCAGCACCTTCCTAAAAAACTGTGTCTGGGGGGCCGGAGAGATGGCTCGGTGGTTAAGAGCACTGCTTGTTCTTCCAAAGGTCCTGAGTTCAATTCCCAGCAACCACATGGTGGCTCACAACCATCTGTAATAAAATCTGGTGCCCTCTTCTGGCTTGCAGAGAGAATACTGTATACATAATTAATAAATAAATCTTAAAAAAAAAACAAAAACTGTGTCTGTGTATGATCATGACCCCAACATTCCTGCTGGCGGTTGGGGTGGAGGAGCTGTGACAAGCAGATCGAGGGAGCTCATTGACTGGCCAGCCTAGCCTCACTAACATCTGAGCCTTCTGCTATCTCTAGGGCTCAGCCCCACTGCCCTGGGCAAGGTCTTATATCCACAAGCTGACCTAAAGGTCACCAAAACCCGTCCTGTTTGGACCGTGGGTAAGTTTGGGCTCAAATGAGCCAGGGCTGCACTCATGTGCTGACTATTTACCGCTCCCCACCACACCCCACATGCTGCTGGTTACCTGTGGTGTTGCCCAGGATGGCCTGCAGACTGAAGATCTGCGCCAGGAGGACTCCAATGATGACGAATACCTCAGTCATTGTTCCTAAGGTGCCCCTCAGGTTCTTGGGAGCCAGTTCTCCCAGGTACATGGGAAGAGCGCTGTAGGAGATGCCTGGTTCAGACAACACGGGAATTGGGGTCACCAGGAGCTGTTCCCAGGCTCTCAGAACCCCATGCCTGAGGTTGACTCGACCCATCTCTCAATCCTTGAGTCTCACTGGGACAAGAAGAGGGTGGTGTTGATCATCCAGTTTGAACCTGCTACCACCGCCTCTCCCAACCCTCCCCCTTCAGCCCTGCTAGAGCGTGAAAGCTGTCTGCCAGGAAATCCCTTTCTCCAAAGTCTGGCATTCAGACAAAAGCATGAGAAAATAGTCCCTACCCACTAAAAGGAGTGATTCTTCTTCTCTGGCAACCGGGACCTATGGCTCTTCCATTAACCTATACCTATCAGCATATCAGGGTCTCTGCTGGCCTCTAGGTTCCATCAATCCTACTCACAAGTACCTGCTATAGACTTCAACGTCCTCCACACCAGCTCACAGGCTCCCCTCCACCCCAGGTCAGGTACCTGTTCCCTTAAAACCCTAGAAATATCTCACCCCCACCTCCACTTACCACCATCACCCCCCACCAGTACCCACTACTACCTACACCACCCACCACCCCTGCTGCTGCGGCTGCTGCCACCACCATCACCCCCCCCCCCACCACCCCAGTTGCTTCTCTCTGCTTTCCCTGAAAGAAAGCCTTGGCAGTTTGGAGTAAACTTTCCTTTTCACCCCCAGAGTAGCTATTTTGGTTTCTTTAAGGCAGCATTCAAAAATGATACTGTTACCTTCCCGGCTTCTGGACTACTGTTGATTGAAGGGGTCTATGCTGTGTGGTCACTCTTTATGTGAACTTAAATATTCAAGTCTTATTTTGGTTGATTTCTATTATTTCTTACAAAGCCTTTTTTTGTTTTGTCTTGCTTGTGGTATATATGCACGCAAGGCAAGTCCTCTACCACTGAGCTGTGCTCAGCCCTTTCTTTTGTTATTCCCTGTGGGTGTGGTTCTGGGGATTGGACCGAGGGCTTTGTATGTATACAAGGTAAGCACTCTACCACTCAACCACATTGCCAGCCCTGGCTCTCTCTGCTTTAAGAAATAAGAGAAAGCACTATAGTTAACAATGCTAACTGCCAGCTTTCGGTGGAGGCACACGCCTTTAATCCCAGCACTCTGGGAAGCAGAGGCAGGTGGATCTCTGTGAGTTTGAGGTCAGCCTGGTCTACAGAGTGAGTTCCAAGACAGCTAGGACTGTTGAACAGAGAAACCCTGTCTTGGGGAGGGGGGGAGGAAGAGGGAAGATCCTAACTGTTGCCTGAGACAGAGACACTAGATTTTGTAGTCTTTTCCTTTGAAGTCACTCATCCTCCTTGGAAGATAGCTGCAAAACTGGGTTGTTATATGTTCTTCACAGTAAAATGTCTCCTTCCTCTCCCCTCTTCCCTTCCTCCTTCCCTCCCTTCCGCCCTCCCCCTTCCTTCTGTTTCTTTCTTTCCAGACTAGCTCTCCTGATAGTTAGGTCTCAAACCCTGGAGAAATGACTGAGGTGCTTATTTAACATATCAAGGCAGACTCTGGCTGCCAGGTTCTCCCAGGTCCCCCGCTTGTTACGGGGTTCCTCCTGGCCGACCTGTGCCGCCTCCTATGCTAAACTTCTCCAGCCCAGGGACTGAGCTGGCCACTCTTGGTACCTGCACAGATTCCCACCAGCACGCGAGACAAGATGATCAGCTCAAAAGCCCGGGCCACTTTGCTGACCCCCATCAGGATGGCAGGGGTGATAGCGAAGACATTGTTGATCAGCAGAGTTCCTTTTCTGCAAGACAGCAGGGGACAGGGGTGACCAGTGCAGGTTTTTCACATCAAACCCAGTGTTCCAGGCTGTCCCCTGCAAAGGACCTACACTGTGCCTGAGGAGGGCTGGTGGACGGGACTGGGCCCCGGAGTGTCCCCCAGGGTTGTGCATGCGTGTGCAGCGATCCCTGCCCCTCAGGGCCTTCAGATGACACGGGTACTCCTCATGACGGGACTAGTGCTCTTATAATACATGATGCTCTCTCCGCGTTTATTGAAGAAAGCTCAAGCTGACCAAGAATGGAAGAGCAGTAAAGGAAGTGTGTGTCGAAGTTCTAGGAGCAGAGGGCTCACTAGCAGGAGGGGGCGGTGTGTTCCCAACAGGGCAGCTGCCCTGGGTTCGAGCTTGAGGGGGCTGGGGGTAGTCCAGCCCACTGGCGATGTCTAGCATCTCTGATGCTGGCCAGGGATGTTGACCAGATAGATTCCCATAACAGATGGGTGCAGAATGAGACCAGATGACCTCGACCACGAAACCCAATGGTCTGTAAAAGGGGGAGGGGAGGCCTGTAAAGTAGCACCAAGCTGGGTGCCTGCCCTCCAGGCCCCAGAAGCCATCTTTTGTGGCTTGCTTGCTTTAGTTTCTTTGAAATAGGGCCTCATGTATCCCCCACCGGCCTTAGATTTGCTTTGTAGCCAGTGCTCTGGCCTCTGCCTCCAGAGGGCTAGATTACAGCTGTGTCCAGCCACACCCCTCCAGGGGCTGCGAATGGCTCCCCAGCTCAGACCTGTTTGGGGCCCAGGTTGTTGCAGGTGCAGCAGGGCTGATAGGGTCCTAATGAAAATGTCCTCGGGTAGTCAACACACAGATGTGCACTCCGGATTTCTCTGGCTGCTTTTCTCTCTAGCCACAGCCCGCAGCTTCCCCCTGGAACCCCTGAAGACCCAGGAGGATAAACAGCACATAGCAGTCCTATATTCCTGATACCCCCCCTTTCTGATCCCCAAGAAGTCTGTGGGCCTCAGGGAGGCTGAGGCTGATGGGCCCCTACTAGGCAGGCTGACCCCACTCCACCTCCTGGTTTCTCATGGGTGTGATCTTAGTTCCTGGGAGGCTGAGGCAGGTGGATCTCTGTGAGTGACAGGCCAGCCTGGTCTACACAGTGAGACACTCTCTCAAAACAAAACAAAAGGTCTTTAAGTTTCCTCTACAGTCAAAGTTTCATAACTGAGGAGGAGGAGGAGGAAGGAAAGCGTGGGTTTCTAGAACAACCTAAATACGAGTTGGCAAGGCGGTAAGCGTGCATAGCCTGCCAGCCTGACCAGCGGCATGATTGGTTAGAAGCCATTGAATTCTTCCTTCACTCAGGCACAAGAAAGGACAAGTTCACTCTCCACCAATATTTGCAAGGAGACGCTTCTGTGTCCAGTTTTCATAAACAGAGTTTCCAACTGTCTAACGCGTGGGAAGGAAATTGCTATGTCTTAGAGCTGTTTTTATGTTTTATGGGTTCTCCACTCCCATCCTCACACAGCCTAACTTGGTGTGTGACAAGTTCCAATGAGCACAGCCTGCCCAAGCAGAACGCATCTGTGCCCCACCCTGTGACCTCAACTCAGACTTCACCTCCCTGGGGACCTTGACCTGTGCGCCCTCCTTATCTTCAGTCACGCCTCTGCAACCTGGGCCAGTGAGCAGTCAAGCAAAGTGCACAGATATGGGCTTCACGTCCATTGGAGATTTGAGACCAAGCAAGGCCCGTGTGGTGATTCACTCAGCCCTGTTCCCAACTTCAGGACACCTGCTGATCCCATGTGAAGAGCGCTGTTAGGACTGGAAGCCGCCTGAACCCAGAATGAACCTCCTGGAGTGGCCTTTCTGAGCTTGGCCACAGGGCTTACAGGGAGGCACCCAGCTAAACTCCATCAGCACCTTCCCCTCAGAGGATGCAGCCCTCTAGGGCTTCTCCTAGGCATCTGCCTGGCTATGGAGCCCTGATGTCTGCGGCCGTGCCAAAGCTTGCTTGCAGATCTGATTTTGGGGTGTCTCAGCTACTCAGCAGGAGCTCAGTCCTCAGGAGAGCCTGTGGCTTGTGATGAGCTTCAAGTTTGGGAATAACATCTACTATTTACCTGCCCCACTTATCGACCATTGGGCCAACAATCAAGGACCCCAACAAGCCTCCCAGAGGGAACATGGAGACCGTACAGGACCACAGGAGCAGCAGGGAATTCTCGTCCATGAACGTTCCATACCGCTCAAAGTGCGTGTCGTTGTAAAACGACTTGAAGACCTGAAAGACAGGACCCCATCCGTTGCTCAAGCGACTGTGCCACTCACAGAAACGGTGACATGGGTGTTCTTTTGGATTTTTCGAGACAGGGTTTCTCCGTAGCTTTTTGGTTCCTGTCCTGGAACTAGCTCTTGTAGACCTCGAACTCACAGAGATTCGCCTGCCTCTGCCTCCCGAGTGCTGGGATTAAAGGCCTGCGCCACCACTGCCCGGCTGACATAGGTGTTCTTAGCTGTCCCTGGCTGTCTCATATAGGACTGACTGCTCCTGCCAGTACCTGCAGGACACAGTGGAACCTGCTGGTGTCTGAGAGCAAAATCAAACTCTGTGTGAGGAGTAGAGATGGGAAGCTGGACTCAACAAAAACTGCTAAAAAATTCCCTTTCAGAGTCTCATTCTGCCGGAGGCAATGTGGGAAAGAGTCACACTAACTGGGTGACCTTGGGCAGCGAGTGGACCTCCAGAGCCTTCACCTCCTCACCAGTTCCACAGAGCATCTGCTTCTGTTTGAGACAGGCTTCCATAGCTGCGGCAGAACACCGGAGCAGCTTGGGAAGAAAAGACTGACTTCACCCTACAGCTCTCGGGTCACACCTCATCACGGAGGGAAGTCAGGGCAGGAACTCAAGGCAGGAACTGAAGCAGAGGCCGTGGAGGAACGCTGCTCACTGGCTTGCTTCTCTGGCTTGCTCAGCCTTTCTTCTAGCACCCTGGACCACCTGCCCAGGGCTGTGTTCTCTCACGTCAGTCATTAATCAAGAACACGTTCGCCCACAGGCCAATCTAATGGGAGTATTTTCTCAAGTTATGTTCCCTCTTCCTGATGTTGTTTTTACTCTTTTGGGGGTAAAAACTCCCAAATAAACCATACACTGAGGCTTATTCGTAATTATAAAGGCCTGGCTTAGCTTAGCTTGTTTCTTGACATCTTTTCTTTTTTTCTTTGAGACAGGGTTTCTCTGTAGCTTTGGAACCCGTCCTGGAACTAGCTCTTGTAGACCAGGATGGCCTTGAACTCACAGAGATCCACCTGCCTCTGCCTCCCCAGTACTAGGATTAAAGGTGTGTGCCACCACCGCCTGCCCTTTGCCATCTTTTCTTAACTTAAATGAGCCATCTATCTTTTACCTCTGGGCTTTTCCTTTTCTATTCCTGTATACCTTTCTTTGTTTCTTACTCCATGGTTTGCTGTTGAAATAAGAGCGGCGGGGCTGCGTCCCCAACACCCTGGCCGCTTGGCTAGCTTATGCCCGAAATAACAACACACAAACTGTATCCATTGAAAGAACTGCTTGGCCCATGAACTCTAGCTCTTACAGGCTAATTCTCACACCTGGATTAGCCCATTTCTAATGATGTGTGTAAGCACCCCAAGGTGCGCTTACCGGGAAGATTCTAGCCTACATCCATCCGGGGTTGGAGGAGCTTCATTGTGTGCATCTGCCTGGGAGAGCTGAGCATGGCGTCTCTGCTCCAGAGAGCAGATCTGTCGGGTCTCTCCGGGAGCAGAGCAGAGTCTGACCTCACTTCCTCTTCCGCCCAGAATTCTATTCTGTTTATTCCTCCCATCTATGTTCTAAGCTGAGGCCAAGCAGTTGGTTTATTATAACTTAACCAATGAAATCAACAGATTGATATATGACACTCCCACATCAGTTTGCTGTGTAGCTAGCCTCCCCCCAGTCCTTCTCCTTCTCTGGCTAATTCTTTCTTCCACATTTCTCCTTGTATTTATCTTCTCTGCCTGCCAGCCCCGCCTATCCTTGCTCCTGCCTCCTATTGGCTGTTCAGCGCTTTATTAGCCCATCAGGTGTTTTAGATGTGCAAAGAACCACAGCTTCGCGGAGTTAAACAAATCCAGCATAAACAAAAGCAACACACCTTAAAATAATACTCTACTCTTTCTCTTAAGTAACTCTAGCTTGTATCAAGTTGATATAAAATTGGCCAGCACATTAATTATAATAGTGGCAGCACTTAGCCTGTGTGGTACTTAGAGGAGATGTTCAGGGCTGGGCATGCAGCTCAGAGAGTAGAGCACTTACCCAGTGTGCAGGAAGCCCTGGTTCCATCTCCAACCCTGAGTAAGATCAGCTATGGTGGTGCACACTTGTAATCTCAGCACTTGGGGGAGGTAGAGGCAGGAGGATCAGAACTTCTAGGTCAGCTTCAGCTATGTATAAGATTCTGCCTTAAAATGTTGTGTGGAGAGGGGAGGCTGGAGAGATGGTAGCAGTGAAGAGCACTTGCAGCTCTTGCTGCTGGAGTTTGGTTCCTAGCGCCCATGTCAGGTGACACCCGCATCAGGTGACACCCATGTCAGGTGACACCCGCGTCAGGTGACACCCATGTCAGGTGGCTCACAACCACCTGCTTCAGAGACTCTTCTAGCCACTATTGGGGCACATACAGAGAGATTTAAAACAAAACAAAACAAAACAAATCGGATCCCAAACAGGGGGTGTAGCTCAGTGGTGGAGCACTTGTTTATCCTTCCAGGCCCTGGGTTTAATTCTGGACACCACAAAAACAAACCAATAAGCCACAATACTGGACAAAGAGATTTTCTGCTGCCAGGGAGCCAGCCTCCAGCAGGGCAGGGCTCTAAAGGAATCCCCCAGTAGGCCTATGACTTTTTTTTATCCGAGGGGAAAGACCCACACACTCTTCTTCCATTCTGTGTTCTCCATTCTGCATTCTTATCTCTATCCAGAAATGTCCCTCTGTCTTGATGTCTTCCTTCTAACTCACTTTATTTTTTTTCTGTTACAGCTTATAGACCCCAGCAAAATCTTTCAAGCAATGTAAAAATTTCAATGTAGTTTCATTGTATTTTTCAAGTGAATGATTACAATGAATACAAGTAAAAAACAGCATGTTTTTCTTATACAATTAAACACTTTATGTATTACAGGTGAAAAACAAGCTGTCCCAAGAACCCACGTTCATCCGTTCGTTCTTTCACTTGGACCCGAGAACCTTGTTATAGATTAACAGAGTGTGAGCAAGCAGGGTATTTTTCTCAGCTGGTTCTTTTGCTGGCAGGCTGCATATTTCCATTTCGAAGAAAGAATCAATCACTTGATTTTGTATAAAAATCTTGAAAGGTAATTTTATAAGGAATCTTAAAGAAATCGCAAACCTAAACTTTTATGCATGAAAAACAGTCAGCTCTACTTTCAATCTTTTTAGGGTCCAAACTCACTCTGCGATGGCCTTTTATGTTAGGAGACTGAGGGCAGAAATGGGTACAAGGACTTAGTCATCGTCTTTGGGCACTGATCAGTTTTAGCACAGAAAGTGCATTAAGGAGTAATAATTGGGCTGCTTTGTGATTTGACCCCTAGCCTAATAAATCCCTCAGTTCTGTGTCCTTGTGAGCTTTAGATGGTTTTCCATGGTTTTTCGTCTCCAAGTGTTGATCAAAACATCTCAACCTGCCCTGAGGCCGGTTTCAGCTTTGTTTCGGCTGTGATACACTCTGAAAACTGTGGACTATGTCTTTTAACATTAAGGTTTAAAGATTTGAGCCAAGCTGGCTCTTGGGACTCAGTTGTTTTCCTTAATCATTAACCTGAACTCAACTTAATCCTTAACATCTATGCAGCTCCTTAAGTAAAACTCTAAGGCCCTAAGCTGTGTGGTATTTTGTTGTATTTATTTTCAATCATCAGAATTCTATTTAAACTAACATTATTGTTATTATTAATTAGACAGCACAGATTAGGAAGAAATCATCTTCATAATAACATTATATTATTAATTAGACATCAAAGATTAGATAGAAATCACATTCATAATAATCCACAAGTAAAAATGCCCAGTAGAACGTGATATTTCAATGAGATAAATTCTCCCCACACCCATTCACACCATGCCAGATACCAGAGAAAGATGGCAGCAGCCAACCTGCAAAGGCACAGCAGAAGCCAAAGACATTCTCGAGTCTGTGGTCTGGGGGGGGCCTTGCCTATTGGAGATTCACCCATCAGGGATTTTCTCCTCCTGGTGGGCTGACACCTGGAGCTTCAGTTACTACCTGTTGCTTCTCTGACAGGGCCACCGGCAGTGGTTCATGCCTCTAATCACCACACTGGAGAGGTTGAGGCAGGAGGATGGTTCGGGGCCAGCTTAATGTATAAAATATCTCAATAAACCTAGGACTGGGACCGGTGAGGTGGCTCAGTGGTCAGTGCCAAAGCAGTTGACCTGAGCCAGACACTCAAGGTAGAAGCAGAGAGAGGATTCCTGTGAGCTGTCTTCTGAGCTCACACACTCGCTGTGGCAAGTACACGCCCCACACATCCTCAGACACACTCCAGACAGACTGGATAAATATAAACAAATAAATGTGATTATACATGTGTGTGTTTTCCTCTTTGTTCTTTTGAGACAGGGTCTCTCTATGTAGTCATGGCTACACTGGAGCTTTCTGTGTAGACCAGGCTAGCCTTGAACTCACAAGACATCCTCCTGCCCCTGCCTTTCCGGTGCTGAGATGAGAGGTGTTCACCACTATGTCTGGTGAAATAAAATATTAAAAAAAAAAAATCCCCTGGCTGGGGATGTTGCTCTGTGGTGGAGCACTTTTCTGGTGTGCCTGAGGCCCTGGGTTTGATTCTCAGTATTGCAAAATAAAATACCATCAAAACCTTCATAAGATCAAAGATGCTCCATCAATGATAATATATAGTGTATATAAATGCAGCCCATATGCATACAGATTCACCTATGTATATATACTGTGGGGAACTGCTTGCTTTTCTTCCTATAAGCAATGCTATACTACTTCTCATCCTCAGCGTCTGGGGTGACAGGTGAGCCTTGCTGTGCCTGCCTCCTGTGACACCGAGTCTTAAAAAATACTGTGAATTTACACACGTAAGTGAATAGACCACGCCAACCAAGGCGCTTGTCCCCTTTGCCCCTCCAGGGACATCCTTTCTGAATCGGTCCTTGGGAGTCCTGCTTCCTTGGTCTCTCCCTCTGGACCTCAAGTCTCCCATCAGTCTATCCTGGCAGGGACCAGGATCTAACCCTAATGCATGAGGTGACTTGGTGGAGCCCACTCTCTATGGAGAGAGACCTTGCTCAGCCTCGGTACAGCTGGGGGTGGGGCCGGGGCCAGGGCTTGTTCCTGCCTTAAAGAGGTGATGGGACAGACTTAGTTAACTTCCCAAGGGAAGCCTTACCCTCTCAGAGGAGCGGATGAGGATGCGGTTGGGGGAAGATGGGGAAGTGGGAGGAAAGGAGGGAGGGGGAACTGGGATTGGTATGTTTTTTTTTTTTTTTTTTTTTAAAAAAGATGACATTTCTGGGGAAAATGCCTCTAGTTGCCTCTGGTCCTCAGAGGTGGGCATCTAGGGAGTCCTAGGGGAAGATGGAGGTTTGCAGTAGTGAAACAGCAGCTGACTTTTGCTCATGAGACCCGCCTTGTGCCCACCTTGTGAGGTGTGTTGATCACAGAGATGTTGTAGCCATATTGGAAGGCTGAGCCAAAGGCTGCGCTTAGCGTCGTCAGGATCAGTGTGGGCTGGAGGCCCTGCAGGAGAGATTTCCAAGATTAGGGACTCTGGGAGGGTTGGTTCCTGAAGCTTCTAGGATGGGGGGTGGGGCAGGGAGGCTAGGCCTCCATTTCCTCCTTGATGGAAAGGAAGGTCTGGATGGGAGCAGGAGGAGGCAACCCAAGCAGGTGCTGCCGGAGCTGGGGCCTCCCTTTCTGTTTCCGGGCACACGTTTCTCCTGCCTTTGCCCTTGAGGGTGATGGGACAGGGTAGATGAGGATTATGAAGCAGCACCATCTGGCCTCCCCAAAGCTTTGCTGGAGCGTGCTTGCTCTGAGCCACGGCATTTGGGTGTGGCAGTCCCCTTGCAACCTTCTGTGTAGGCAATCTCCCCTCCAACCTCTCCTTGATAGACTGATTCCAAGTCCCTCATCTACATACAAAGGTCTCCAGATTGGTGGGACAGGAGGTTTCCAAAATTGGCACTTACTCCTTTTGTGTGTGGCTTGGGCAGAGGTGTCTCTGTCCCCTTGTTCTCCATCTTCATCAGGTAGGCGAGCAGGCACACTCTGCCTCTCCGAGGCCACCAGACCCTGCTCTGTTCTGGCTTGCCAGCTGATCTGCTGAGTTTCCCCAAGGCTGGCTTAGCATATGATCCTCTTGCCCTCTGGACCTTAATTGCTTTCTACAGGAGCCCATTCTCCTTGATAAGATATATGTTGACGCTTTGCCAGTGGTATCCACGTGCAGAGGGGCTATGTGTTTGCATCCTCCGACTCCCAGCCAGCAGCCTCCCAGTTGCCACAGGGAGAGAAAAGATGCTGCTTGGTCCCCTGAAATGAGTTGTGGAAATCAAAGCAAGCTGCAACTTCAACCTCGCGGACTTCTCTTGTGTTCCTTCTCCAGATGTGCCTCCTCATGCCCTGGGCTAATTGTCTCTTAGGGGAAAGCACCCCAGTTTTTTCTAGTGCAACTTTGCTGGCCAGAGTGGCAAACTCCTATAACCTCAGCACTTGGGGAGAAGGGACAGGAGGACCATGGGTTTGGGGTCACTCCAGGAAATACAATAAGGCCTTGTGTTAAAAGAACAAAAAACGAAATCCAAAGACTGGGGAGGTGGCTCAGAGGTGGATCAGCTGCTTGTGTGTATAAAACTCTGGATTTCAGCCAGGCAGTGGTGGCACACACCTTTAATCTCAACTCTCAGGAGGCAGAGGCAGGAGGATCTCTGTGAGTTCAAGCCCAGTCTGGTCTACAGAGTAGGGTCCAGGATAGCCAGGGCTACACAGAGAAATCCTGTCTCAAAAAAACCAAAACAGCACATAAAAAGACTCTGGATTCCAACCCCAACAATGCAAAACAAGACAAGACAAGGCAACCTTAATAACTTTACATTTTTATTTAATTAATTATCATTAATATCATGATTATCGTTGTGTACATGTGGGGGTTTGCACGTGTCACAGGTCAGAGGACAACCTGCTGGAGACAATTCTCTCCTGTCACCGTGTTGGTCACTGGGCTGGAACCAAGGCTGTTGATCTTGACAAGTGTCTTTCCCAGCTGAGCCGCTCCTGGGCCTTCTGTGTTTGGTTCTCTGTGTGTATTAGTTACTTTGCTGTCTTTGTGATAAAACACGATGGCCAGAGGTCACTTAAAGCAGAGAGAGACTATTTGGACTATGGTTCCGGAGGGATGAGAGTCCATCAACGCGGGGAGACACAGCAGCAGGAGGCAGGCTGCGGAACAGGGGTCTAGAGCTCACCTCTTTAAGGGAGGACAAAGCAGAGAGGGCAAATTAGAAGTCGGGGGAGGATACGTTCTCTCACAGTCCACTCAGTGATACCAAGTGTGCAAATACTGGAGCCCCAGGGGACATTTCTCATTCAAAGCACTATGGTGTGCTGTGTGTGTGCATGTGTGTGTGCATGTGTGTGTATGTGTGTACATGTGTGTGTCATGTGTGTGCGTGTGTGTACGTGTGTGTGCTGTGTGCGCGCGCGTGTGGGTGTGTATGTGTGTGTGTACGTGTGTGTTGTGCGTGTGCGTGTGCGTGTGTGTGTGCGTGTGTGTGCACGTGTGTGAGCGATGTGAACGTGTGACTTTGGACATGCACATGGAGGTCTCAGGACACCGTCAGGGTCTGTTGTCAGCTTCTACCTTGTTTGAGATAGGGTCTATGACAGTGTGGTGCTTCGTCTGCTAGGTTAGGGGCTGCCAGCTTCTGGGAACTTTCCTGTCTCTGCCCCCACCTTGATATAGGAGCACTGAGATTCAGATCCAGGCTACATGTCCAGCTGTGACATGGGTTAGAAGAACTCAGTGTGGCAAGCATTTACTGACTGAGCCATCTCCCCTAGCCTACAGCCTTATTATTCTAATTACAAGGAGAAATTAAAGTATTAGGAATGATGACTATAAGTAATTAGTAAATAATTGTAATTGCTGTGGTTTGGGTTTGGGTACCCCAAAACCTGTGTTCCCAGCTTGCTGTTGGTGGGAAATGGGTTGTTGGGATGTGCTCTTGGAGAGGATTGTGGGGTGCCTGTGTCTTCCTTTCCCTTCTCTTCCTGGCTATGAGGTGAATAAGTGTGTTCTCATCATGACATGCTGACTCAAGACACAAAAGCAAAAGAACAGACTGACCATCCAATGACGGATTCCAAACAGAAACAAGCGCATGCCTGCATGCCTGTTTTAAAGTTGGCTATGGGCCTGGCAAACGGCGCAGAGGGTGAAGGTGTGAACTGCCATGTCTGGTGGTTTGAGTTCAATCCCAGGAACCCACGTGGTGGAGGGAGAGAACTGATCCTCTTTATCAGGATGGTGAATGCTGACTAAGACATGTGTTTAATAAGTCAATAAAACATTGAATAACAGAATGATATTCATGTTAGAATTATCTCTGTTAGAAAAGGAAGGGCAGGAGAAAGGAAGGAGGGAAGAGAGAGCCATATCTCCTGTCTCCACCTCCTTAGTGCTGGGATTAAAGGTGTGAGCTACCACCACCTGGATCTGTTTCTGGGTTGATTTTGAATAGCCCAGGGTAGTCTTGAACTGGCAGAAATCCATCTGCCTCTGTCTCCCAGTCCTGGGATTAAAGGTGTTTGCTACCACTCCCTCGACTCTATGATCTTCAGGCAAGCATTATTTATTAAAATATAAATAAAATATCACTACAGAATAGTCCCTTAATTTTGTTTTTTTTCTTCTGTCTTACCAGGTGGCTCTTCTGATACAGAGATTTTGAATTTTCCTTTAACAAGCACATTTGGGTTTAGAGAAGGAGAGAGCCACACTCTAACTACAAAGCCAGTTTTAATCTTTAACTGCACTGGGTCTGCAAAAAAGGACTCTTTTCCCTATGTCTATGGAGACCAGCATAAACAAATATTTGGGAAGATTTATGAAATTTTATCCTGTTGGAAATATGATATACCGATAGACCAACTGACTCTTTTTCTTGAGACATTTTCTCTGAATGTTTTATTTGTCCCATGTTCTTCAGGTTCCCTAATTGGATGCTTTTATTCTCTTGGAAAGGAGATGACAAAGCCCTGACCCAACCCTAACTTTGGAGAGTCTCCTTTTGGACAGGTTATATCTAACCAAAGGCATTTGTCAGTCTTATAAGTTAGTTTAGACTGAACGGCCATGCGGTTTTATGAACTATTGTCTCTCCTAATGAAAAAAATCTCTCCTGCTTGAATTTAATCTTTATCAATTTTAATGGTATCTATAGATTTCCTTCTTCTGTGGAAACAAAAGCAGAACTTCTTCCCCAATGTAACACATATCCTGGTTTCCATTCTGAGGTCAACACATTCTCGAAGTATACAGGCTGGTTTGATTGGGCAGTTTTCCCCTACTACCCAATGTCTCTCTGCAGCTGTTGTTCCAATCTCATTAACATTTAAAAAATTAAAGTTAATAAGGCATTGTAATCTATCTCTGCTTTTAAAGTGTGTTTAGATCTTTCTTTAACTGTTTGTCATGTAGGATTGTGTGCTATACCTGTAATATGCAAAAAACTGTTTCATTTTGTTAGGGACATATGCCGGAGCATTGTCCGTCTTAATTTAATTTTCCAAACTCTGCTAAAATAAAACACATCCATTTGCCAAATTTCATTTCTTTGAATACCCTTTGGGCTACTTTCTTCAGGTAGTGGAGTTTGGTTATACAATGAACAAGTAGAACCTTTACTTTTAAGTTCCTGACTTGTTGTCAAGTGATAGAAAAAATCTTTTTTCAAACCCTTGCTACTAACATGATATTTCTTAGGAAATTCCAATGCTGCTAGCACATTCCCAATCTATAGCTGATCAATTTCATGAATACCTTGGGTCAGAGGGCCTGGTAGGCCCATATGGGATCTGATATGTGTTTTATGTGAAGGAAGATTTCTATTTCTGATTATTTCTTGTAACTGAGTAAATAGCAAAGTTAATTCTGAATCACTTGGAATAATTTCAGTGGTTTTAAGATGTAAAACAACTCTTTCTGCATATTGAGAGTCAGTAACTATATTAAGAGGGTCTAGAATATCTAATAATACCATGGAGAAGAGCATATAATTCTGACTTCTGAACAGAATAATAATTTCCTGACTTATAACCTGCCTGTCCTGATCTATTTGTGTCAATATAGAATGTAGGGGCTCCAGAAATTGGTGTTTCTTATACATTGTGAGGAAGGATCTAATTATTTCTCTTTAAAAATTGAAGTCTCTTGTTTTGGAGATATTTGTTACTATTCTCTCCCAAGAAATTCCTGGAAGCTCTTTGTCAATGCTCATTTTCTGGCCATAATGAGGCAATTTTAGCATTGGTAAAAGGCACCACAAAACCTGTTGGGTCTTTTCGTGTTAACTGATGATATCTCAATTTTCCTTTCAGAGTCAGTTCAGAAACCTTTTCTACATAGCTCTTTAATTTTTATTCTGTTTGTGTGATAAAGATATTCATTCTAAGATACTATTCTCTCTCTGCATAAGAATTCCCGTAGAGACTGCATAGAGGGTAGTGTGACCAAGATACAATTCATGTGTGCATCCTGTAATTTCTTTTCTACCAGAGCCAATTCTTTCTCAGCATCAGCTGATAATTTTCTTGAACTATTTCAGGCCTTATCACCTTGTAAGGTCTGAAATAAATTACTTAGTTCTTGAGTAGCATATCTGATTGTGGTTTGTAGCCAGTTAGTATCGCCCAGCAAATTTTGAAAACCCATAGGGTTTGCAATTGATCTCTACTCATTTGTACTTTCTGGGGCTGAATATTTGTAAACCTTTCTTATACTCTAGGTGTTTAATAGAATCTTCTTTTTGTATCTTTTTTCAGGACTAATTCGTAATTCCCAACACAGTGAAATTTTCTTTACTTCTTCAAACATTTTTTCTAAGCTACCAGAATCTGAATCAGCTAGTATGATATCATCCATATAATGGTAATTTTTTTTGTTGTTTGTTTTTTGAGACAGGGTTTCTCTGTAGCTTTTGGAGCCTGTCCTGGAACTAGCTCTTGTAGACCAGGCTGGCCT